TCGTTACTTTAATAAGACTTTATTATGATGAGATGATCTTCAAAAATTAGCCAATCATGATAAAGCCCGCTATGCTTGCCAAACCACGTATGAAAAAAGGCGGTCTGTGGCAATGTTTGTAAATTGAAATGATAAACTCACGTATTATTTTTTTACTAATAAAAATATATTATTTACGTAATAAACTTTATTAAACTGCCATGTTTATTTAAATATTTATTACATTGACAAACAATTTTGATCCTTTAAAATATTTCCGCTAAGTAGAATTTATTCACCGACACTTTTTGACCCATTGATGAAGGCGTTTGAGAACACCCTAAGCGTATTACATATAGATTTATTCCTTTATCGATTCTCTTGAGAGCTATTGCCTGCTTGCTTCCTCATAGCCGAAATGTAAGTTTAGTTGATTGTATATAAATGTACGACTAGAGCGTTTAGGAATAGCGAGCCCCTTTCCCATATGTATTTTCATATATAGAGCAATAATAATTAAAATTGTGCCAAACTGCCCTTGTAACGTACCTCAATAGAAGCCTTAGAAATCAATATCCGCCTCCCCTATTTTATTGAGCAACGTTACACGTCGTCTCCTTTACCAAACGAAAATTTGTCGTATTCTTGTTTATTTGTGCGTGTGTTTCTGGTCGATTAGCCAGTAACAAATATAGCATATCTCGGTGTTACTTTCAATAACATTCCCGTTGCAGTATTATTTGTATCGAATTTCATTCGTATGATCATTTTATTTGGAAGTTCTGCAATCAAAATGTAAATTTTAAAATTTTAAGTTATTTAACCCCCACAGTACGAGTGTTAATTTTGGATTTAGGTTTACGTTACTGTTCCGAAAAAGGAAATTATCATTTGCACAATTTTGTTCTGTAAATCTAATTTCGTGTTTATGATCGTGTAGCGTTCAGAATATATTTAAACCCTCCTCTTTTACCTAGTTCTTTGCTAACGTTTAACTTAAACATTTAAAGAATCTCACACATTTAATTGCACTTACAAATTATAAAATCCTTTCGTAGGTCGCGTTCCAAGAAATATGAGCCTAAAATCAGTTCATGCTGTGAACAATGAGTGTGTGCTATATTTCAACATTTTTAGATTGATCAATAAATGGTTTAGCGGTGGTGAAAAAAAAAATCCACTTTCTCTTTTCATATGTCTCGATACTTCAGGTGATTATCTTATTCTTTATTTTAATTACTAGAATTTCTTGCTTCTGCGCTGTTACGCAACAAGACGTATTTCAAGTTGCGTAATACTATAATAATGTATTTTGTAATCAAGAAGTAATTTAAGCACTTACGCTAGTATACCTTGACAATCATTATGACATTTGGTAGCATTAACTCATACTTGCGCATTGCAGAATAGTCCATTTGAGTCTAATTGTATGTATAAATAGAGACATATAGAACGTTTGTAAAGGTTAGCTAATTAATTAGAAGTTAGTTAGTTGGATCTATGGATAGTACTCTGGGAGTACCTCTTGACTTGGAAAGAAATAGAGAACGTTGGTTACTTAGTTGTAGGTTTTGCTTATTTTTCTAACGTGTTCAAATATAATAAATACTTGCTTTCTTCTCTTAATGTTGATGTTCCTGAGTTGAATTGGTATCAACATAACGAAGTCTCTCCCACTGGACGTCACAACACTCAGTGATGCTAGAAATTTTGTTCATTAGCAATTAGCATGTTACTCCAGGCTTTTCGACAATAAATAGCCAGTTAATTCTACTAAAGGAATTATAAAAAGAAATCTGACAGTTATATTGAAACAAACTAAAACTATATGATTTAATTCATTATAGGTTCTATGCAAGAAACAATCAAACAAGCAAAAGATGCTATATTACAAGTAATTGAATGCTTAATCCATGAAGAAATTATCTCTGAAAGTGATATCACATGTTTTTTTTTATAATTCAGAATGTAGTGAAGTAAAATTCAGTAAAAATCCAAACATGTTATTGGCAAATGGTGAGATAAAAAAATACTTTGATACTGTGGTTGCTGGTGGAGGTAAATATATATTCACTTTTATTGTATCGATACATTAATGAGCTTTTGCAAAAAAAAGTTTTTTTTTTGTTTTAATTCTAAGGTACAAGCTTCGCAAGTGTTTTTGGAAAAATTATCAAAAATCTTAACCAGATTAATAATGATTTGGCTATCATCTTCTTCACTGATGGAGTTGACAAATCCTTAAATGAAAATCATAAAAATAAGTTGAAAGAAGCTTTGTTAAACATTCCATTTGGAACTGAAGTTCATAGTATTGGTTTTACAGCAAGTCATGATGCTAGTCAGTAAAAATTATGATTAACAAAGAGTTTATCAAATTACTTCATAATCTAAATAATTGAATCTTTTTAATTTATAGGTCTTCTTTTATGGTTAACACAGTGTGGAAGTAAAATCGGTAACTTTCTCTATATTAAAACTTCCAGTGATCTCAAAAATAAGATAGAAGATACTACATGCAAGTTACTTAAATTAAGAAAAAGAACTCTTTATGTCAAAATTGGAGAACAACAAAAACTAGTGTATTTTAATAATGATGGCATGGGAACACTTTATATCAATTGCAAAGAAAAAGATCAAAAAATCATTATCTTAAAGAAACAAAAAAGCTAACCAAATACGAAATATAAATTTACATCAATACATGTAATGTCTGATAATAATCCAATTGCTATTCAACTAATAATTCAATTTATCTAAGAAAAGATCATTATATTATTAAATGAAATTCTCATTTGTGATGCTGGTGTAAGAGATGAGAAATGTCAACAAAACTTAACAGATATAAACTTATATGATCAACGATTAGATGAAGTTTCTAATAATAAATCAAATGATTTTGTAAATACAAAAAAATTAATTGATATGTTTAAAGATTTTTTAACCAAGTAATATTATTTTTATTTTTGTATATATGCTTGAACTTTGCTTAAATTTTATTAATTTATTATTAGGAAAGATTTTTCGAATAATAAAATTGCAGAATTTAATGATTTTGCATATGGAATTGTCGCTTCAAGAAAACTAGAAGAAAGGTTTGATATTATTGCATATTTAAATTGTTTTTAAAAAATTTTAAATGTAAATTTTTAAAAGAACAAATAATAATATTAAACTACTATTATTTTAAACTTTTAAATTAATTATCAAATATATAGTAATAATGATGTTTGCAAGAATCAAAACATTTTTATCCCTTATGAAAATGGTATTTGGAATGGAAATAAAATTTATAATGGATCACATAGTAAAATTGAATTTGGAAAATATAAATACTGTAGTAAAGGAGTTGCAGGTTATTTAATTTTTATAAAAGTATATCAAAATTAACATATTTAAAGCAAATTTCTTATATTTATAATAATAAACTTTTTCTAATTATATTAATAGTTAAGCATTTTATTGGCAAGGTGAACTTAAATAAAAAAGTATGCGAACTTAGAAAACATCTTGATCTTAGGAATGCAGATATAAAAAAATATTATTACCTTTTATAGTTTGGTTAGAAAGCTAGATAATAAGATCTGTTTAGTAATAGAATATGCTGAAAATGAAAATTTACAAGATTATCTTTCAAAAAATAAATGTAAATGGGAACAAAAAGCGGAATGGGCTATTGATATTTCAAGAGGATTATCAGCATGTCATAAATATGGAATTATACATTTAAATATGAAAGCTAAAATATTTTCATTGATCATACTTTAACATTAAAGATTGCAGATTTTGGCTTCAGTTATATGAGGCCTAGATTAAATATTGAATGTTGTGTTAAAGGTAAATTAATTATTTAAATTGTTGTTTTTGTAAATTCTGAATCTTATTTCTAAATATTAGGATCGATTCCATGGGTTTCACCTAAATATATTTCTGATGATCCAAAAATGAAGGAATACTATAAGGATCAGCCACAACTTTCAGGTATGTTTTTAAAGTTTCTAATTTTTTAACATATTTAATAATAGCCTAATTTTATTTATGACATCTACAGTTATGGATTAGTTATATGGGAAATCTTGATGAATAGAAAAGAGTATATTAAATATATTCTTGAATTGATAATATAAAAATACAAACATTAACTCTCTATTATATATAGACCATATAATAACATGGATAATGATGAAATTATAGAGATTAAGCTTTCTAAAAAAATTGACAATTTAATTGAAGAACTTAAAGGAGAAAATACACCAGATGAATTAAGAAATATAGTTCAAAAATGTTGCGACTACAATCCTCTCAATCGTATAGCCTTGGAAGAAGTTGAACTTCTCCTTTCAAATTTTAATTTGGGTTAATAGTGCTAACCCAGCAAGTAAATTAATTTGTTTAAAATTTAACTATGTCATGTATAATTTGACTTAACATTCAAATTTGTTTGCAAAAATATTAACTTTGATTTTTATATATTAAAATCAGTTTTGAATTATTTTTATTTATTTATTTTATTAATCTTTTTTATCTATCTATTTATTTTTTTAGCCTTTATTTTATTTATCTATTTATTTTTTTAGCCTTTTTTTATTTATCTATTTATTTTTTTAGCCTCTATTTTTATCTAGTTATTTTTTTTTTGTTTTTTTTTATCTATTTATTTTTTATTTTTTTTTATACGAATTTGCAATCTTATTTCTCATGTAATTTTTTAAAAAGCAAATAAATATATGAATTATAACATAAATAAAGATGATGAAAGTGAAAATTATAAAAGTGAAGAAAATAAAAATACTAATAAAAGAAGTGAAAAATTATGAAGGCTCATCATCTGTACACAAAATTTCGTCACAATAATTTTTACGTTTTTCTTACTTAACGGAAAATTTTATTACATTAACAACCTTTTGTCTCTTAATAACATTTGTTCAGCTAATGTTTTTACATATACCTATAAAATTTCAAGTCTGTATCTCTCATCGTTCTTGAGATATTCGATTTACAAGAACAGATAGACAAAACTCTGTTCTCTTCCCAAAGTTCTGCCCTTTCTGTCAAACTGGGCTTAATAATATACTGATACCTCATAATTGAATTTGCAGTGCTCATCTCTGGCTTCAAAACAAGCTATAGTACATCAAATTTGACCTAAAATTGATCATTTTAGAATCGAAAATATC